ATGGAAAAAAGGTTTCATCTTTGCTTCTAAATATCAATGTTGCTTTAATATTGAAAGTAGTAAGCATGTGTTTATTAATGGTGTGATTGCTCAAAAGGTTTGGTACCATTTCTTTAATCTTGCTGATATTGATTTCTTTAATGCTAATTGTGATGTTGCTGATATTCGTAAACTGTGGTTTTCTAAAGACAAATGTCATATCCATACTTTACTTTTTATTTTGAATATTTGGTACCTTTGGAAGGACATGAATGATTCTAATTATAATGAGATCAAGATGGTTGCTAACCAAATCATTACCAATGTTGGAAATAAAATTTTGCAGTTGCATTCTGTCTATCTTATTTCGATAAAAAATTTTAAAAATTGTCGTCAGTTAGTTACTCATTTTGGTTTTAATAGTGATAGTGGCTCTTTGGATAAATGTGATCGTGTTGTGAGATGGCTTAAACCCACTTTACCTTATGTCAAACTTAACTTGGATTGGTCGGTTGGTGCTACTGCTACTGGTATGGGTGGCATCATCCATAACCATAATGGTAGTCCTGTTACTGCTTTTTCTAGCCCTTTGACTTTCTGTTCTGTCATTACTACTGAAATTATGGGCTTATCTCATGGTTTAAACATTTGTTTGTGATTGGGTTTGGATAATGTGGTCATTGAGGTTGATGTTAAACTCTTAATTCATATTATTACTAATGATAATGATGGTAATCCTCATGATTTTTACACTATTAGAAAAATCAAGATGTCCCTATCTAAGCTTAATTACTTTATTTCTCATATATATCGTGACGGTAATGCTTGTGCGGATTGGTTGGCAAAATATGGTTGTCAACTTGATACTTATCATGAACTTACTGTGTGTAATATGCCCTCTCCTCTTAAAGGGCTTATTACTCTGGATAAAGGAGGGCTTCCTTACCTTCGACATGCTTGAATGCCTTGTCTTGGTGTTTCTGCCATTTTCTGGCAGTTTGTGTGGTCTTCTCTATTTCTGTTTTTGGAGGTCTAGGAGTTTATTCTATTTTGTCATATATAATGGTTTGTTGTGGCTGTTAAGTGAATTTTCTTTTCTAGTTTGGGGGTTGTCTGGAGGTGTGTTAGGGAGCGGGTTTATGTGGGCTACTGTCTTATGGTGTCTCTTTCAGATGTAGGTGATTGCCAATCATAGTTGGCTAGTAAGCTTTTTTTATTTGTATTTTTCTTACCCCTCTAATATCTATTTTACTGGTGATAATTTGGTGATTGTTTATGAGCCGATCCATGTTTTTAGTAATATTGGGTTACCTATGAGGATTTTTACTATTACTACTATCTCTGTTATGCCTGCTGCTCTCATCCAAGTTATCAACTTAAATGTTTGGGGAATTACCTATATGAGACTTTTATTTCTTTACCTGCTTGCATTAGCTTTTTTCTTTTGTTTTGTGGTAACTCGGTAACCGGCAACCTTATTTCCTTTTCCAATTGGTTAAATATTTACTGCTTACAATTCTGCACCCTTATTAACCTTTTGTTTTGGAGTATTTCTTACATGCATATATTCTCTTCAGATTTTTGGCCATACAAATTTTGCAAAGAATTCATGACTCTTACTTTTCAAAGCTCTTTGAGGTTTGCTTTTTTTTTTTGCAGGAAGACTGTGATGAACGTGATTATTCTGCTCTTCCTTTTTTGGGTTCTGTCTACTTGCAGCCTTAGAATGTGCTTAGGTTTTTTTTTTGTAATTCTTAGAAAAAGGAACCACCGGCTCTTAGGTTTTATTTTGTTTTCTCTTGTAGCTCTTCTGAGCATTAGCGAGCTGGAGGTTCCTTCTAAGGACCTTGTAACCTTTTTTTTTGATATTAAAGCATAGACCCCTCCAAGTGTTTTAACTAAAAAAAAAAGAGCTCACTTCATTTGAATATTTTAAATTTTAACAGTATCTCATCTAGGTAAAAGTTACCATTATTTTTATAATGTATCTATATAATTTTCACATATTTTCAAGTTAAAATTATATAATTTTATTTGATAATAGTTATCGTTTTCCTGAAATATGCACATATATGCTCTAGAGTATTTATGCAATAAAACTATTGTCATTGATTATTGATTAGAAATTAATTTGAGGTGGTTCCTAAATTTTCCCTTCTTAATAAAATGTTCTAAACGCTTTAATGGAGATTCATCCTTTCCATTTCTCGTTGTGTACTTATAAATGCTCTATGCATTTGAAATTTTAGGATTAAGTAGCTTTATTTGGGAAATAATTATCATTTTCCTACTTATCTCTGTAAATTTTACATGCATGCATGCCACCCCACTCCAATAAACAACAATCATTTTATAAAAGAAAAAAAATCGTTTTACTAATTTGATCAAGAATCTTGCTCACTTCCTAATTTGTATCTTAAAAAATTAAGAAGACATTAATGGAGACCCATGCATTGTCGCCTTGCGCTAAAAGTATGACTACTGATAACTATGCACATAATAGGAAAATCGTGTAATATTGGCGGCCCAAATCCACCGAAAATTATAAAATTCAGCCGGAAGATGTGCATTTCTGGTGAATTTTTAGTGGAAATGTAGCCGATGGTAAAATGCATGTCGAAAACTTTATTCCGACGGATTATTTCTGGCAGAATTATTTTCAGTGGATTTATTGATGGAATTTCAGTGAAATATAGAAGCAATATTCGTCGTTTATGAGTCACTATTACCGATAATTTATTTGCCATAAATTCTGACGAAAAATTTTAGACAAAAGTTCCAGCGGATAACTCGTCGGAAAGTCTGTCGAACACGGACCGACAAAAATTTCCGACAGTTTATCCGCCGGAGCTTCCAAAGGAATTTTCTGTTAGAAATATGATACATTTTTGTCATATCTCCAATTACGCCGAAAACCTGTAGTGTAAACAAAAAAATATAGCTCTCCTCTTATGTTTTTAACAACACAACAAACCTGTATAAAAATATACAAATATCATATTCATTTAAATATTGAGCATAAAGACATGCATGTGATAATAGATTTGATCATTTCAAGTTGATTGAATATTCACCAAACTGTTTAAATTAAATATGAAGTTCGTTCTTTACATAATTAAAAACAGACAATAAAATAAACAAACATACCAATGAAATGCCCAACATTTAAATGAAATGTCGAGTAATAACAAAAAAAATATCTAATCATAATCAATCTCCTTCTCTATTGATGCATCCTTCTTTCCACTAAATTGCCCCTTCAATTTCTATTACTCATCCAATAATTGAATTTGCTACATCTTCATATGTATCTACATCTGCATGTTAGATTGTGATTTCACTAATTGCTCTACCTCAATTGTATGGATAGCTACCTGTTGGCTATATAATATAATGACTCCCAGCTACTTGCTGAGAATTTGGAGCCACTAGAGGTTTTCCCCTTATATGTGTAGGCTTGCGAGCCTAAACTAAAAACCCGACCCTTCTGTATTCATCCAACCGCCTACGACCAAGTGCAGTAGTCAGCTATTTCAAACGAAGCTTAAATGTTTTTTTTTTTTTTGGAGAAACCCACAGAGGGACCTACGCGTTAACTAAATTAAATAAGTACATAGTCCTTAAGGGGACCTCAAACTCACTAATGCTCAAAGAGCTACAAAAATTAAGAAAAAAGAAACCTAGAAGCTCAAGTTCCCCACTAGAATTTAGTACAATAATCCCTAAGTACATGCTACGGTGCTTAAGGAGAAGCACCCAAAAAGAAGGAGCTATCAAAAAACAACCAAAATGCTCCCAGCTTCCAATCTTCTTGAAAGCATTGCTATCATCCTCCCACAAAAAAATTTGCATAAACAACTAATAGGCAAGAGAACTAAAACAATAATTAAAGCAGGAAAAATTCCTAAGCTTGATCTTAGGACAACCCAAAGAAAGATACGATCGAACAAACAAAAGCCACCCCCAAACCAAAAAAGAACAAATACCATAACAAAAATTCACCCAAAAAGGATACATTCCAAATCTCTCATCATGAATAGCATACCAGACGTTACATTCAACCAGCATTGCAAAAACGAAGCTTAAATGTGTTGCATATACAATGACTCTTTTTTTTTAATGAAGTTTAACCCCACGTGCACAAATTGTACGTTAACATAATTTCAAATATTAATCATAACTATCAAAAGTTAATTATTTTTTGTAATTTTTATAAATTTATTTACTTATAAAATTAAAGTTAAGGCCGAATTAATATGTACTTATGATTCTATTATTTTAAAGAGAATATTACTATTGAATCAATAATAACTATTACTCTCAAAATAATCTCCTTTTATATATTATAATATTATAAAGAAATACTGAAAAGTACCTTACAAACTAAGAAAATACTTAAAAAGATTAACTTGAAATTTAAAATTTCTTCATTTGAATATTTTAAATATTAACAAGATTCGTTCTAAAAATAATTCTCATTTTCCTATTTTTGCATGTATAATTTTCAAATCCATGCATGTGACAGATACATCATTAAATTGTTTTGTTTTAAATAAAACATACATAATCATATCTTCTATAATGGAAAATTAATAACTGTTAATTATAAATTAATTTAGAAAGTTCAGTAAATTTTCTTTTCTTTCTATATTAAATGTTCTAAACGCTCAAATAGAGATTCAATTCATTTCATCCTTTCAATTCTCTCTATAATTTTCAAATGCATGCATGCATGCCACTCCACACTACTCCATTAAATGGACAAATTATTCTATGTGAATATGCCGTCTGGAGGCGAATCAGAACACGCCACTTCACTTTTTTGTTGTATGCCGCAACTATGTACCGTTGTGTACCGGGTAACGTGGCACGTCCTGATTCGCCTCTAAGCGATCTAGTATTTGCACAGAATAATGACATCATGAACTCTTATACTGGAAGATAATTATCTTCTGAACTATATCTCCTCGATCTCCATCATATATATAAATGGCCTACAATGTGTGTTGTAATGAATTAAGATGGAAATACTTGATGCCCCAAAATTGCCTCCATGGACGCAACGAGTGGCTAATGATTACTGTGCATTTGGGCTCAATTTTTTAACGGTGAAGATATTAGATTCTACAGACGTTTCAGAGGAACATGGCCGCATCAGTATTCCAGAACTTCTGGCCAACGATATGCTCCGTATTTACCTTTCTCTAAATGAGAGGGCAATAGTAGACAGCACAGAGAAAGATGGCCCTATAGGAATGTTAAATGATGGTTTGAATGTGCTTGTCTTCATCCCTGGGATGAGGTTGGAGCTGAAACTAACAAGTTGGGATGTATTTGACATTGTCACAAACATTAAAGGATCAGACTGGCCGAGATGTGTTGAATACCTCAAACTCAAAGAAGGAGATAAGGTGGCGATTTGGATATTCCGAAGCCAGGAAAATAGCGATAAAAAAGACATGCCTTGCTTCATTTTTCATAAGCTCTAATGTTGTGCATTTCAGAGTTAGTTTGCTGAATCTTTCATTGATTTGTGAAGCACAAGGTAATTATAGGAAGCATTTGTTATTTTACTAGAATAATATATTTAAAAATGTTTTTGGGGTTTTTAAGAGCTGTTGTAATAAGTCACTTGAATATGAGTTAAAATAGGTTGCAAGATCTTCATTGTTTAGTTAAATTGCTAAATGGAACTATTGCGTGTCAAAACATTCAACATCCATGGAGAGCTGAAGCATTTAACGTTTTAGCTTTAAACGAAGATCTAGTATATATACATATAGATAAAAGAGAGAAGAGTGCAAGAGTTATAAGAGACACTTGAATTTTTACGTGGAAAACCTGAATAGGGGACAAAATCATTGGGCTTGGCTGTATTGAAATAAATCCAATTATGCTTATTCATTGATTACAAATGATACCCTTTCGCAGAAGAAGACATTAAATAGCATAACATAGCAAATATACATTGTATTGAGCACATTATATGTTTGGGGTTGGAAATTCAATGGCATGAGAGATGTTCGCAAGAGAAAGTTGGTTTTGTGAATAATTACTTGGTTACTTTATTGGATCCTAAACATGTTTTAATAAAACTTTGTAATGATATGGATTACTATAGGACATTTTCTCATCGCTCATATTTTGTGAATAATGGCTTCATGAAATCGATTAAATGGTTTCATAATTTAGATCTCATTGAGGAATCCCCAATCATACCTATTTTGGTTTCCTTTCTCAATCTCTGACCACATATGTTCTCTCCTTGTATCTTGCACTGGCTGGGATCTTTATTCGGTTGTCCTTTACGAATTGATATTGCAACTTCAATTAGATCTCACTGCTCAATAGCTCGTGTTAGTTGAGTTGGACATCACTAAAAGATATCTTGAGAAAGTTTAAGTTGATCCTGAAAAGTTTGGGTATATATATTCAAAACGTTGAAATGGAAGATTTCCCCTCTTTTCATGATCAATTCAAATCTTTGGGTCATTATAAACTTGAATGCCCTTCACTTCAACCCCAGATTCACTAGGAAACATTGGTTAACATTGAAACTATGACTATTATTGACAAGGAAAATTCATATTTTGATCACCTTGTTGATATCCTTGTTACTATTTTTTCCCTATTCATATGAATACTAAGGATAATATAAATGTTATGGTTGTTTCTCCTTTATCAAATTTTGTTTCTATTAATGATGGCATTCAAGTTCCTCCTCCCTATGGGGAGGAGTTTGTTGCGGATCTTTCGCAGGTTCAAACGAACATTTTATAGGACATGTGGTTGCTCTTATTTTTATGATTATTTCTAATATGGTTCCTATAATTTATATTCCATTTCTCCTATACCTGAGGGCATCTCCAACCAAAAATTTCTTTTTTTCACTCCAAAATATCGTGAAACTAAAAATGTCGTGATTCATCTCCAATCGAACTCCATTTTGCCCCCTTTTGCCAAGGTAAGGGTTGTTCTTTTATTTCGTACGTTTATTCGACAAGTTCGACAGAGATAGAGAAATGACAAAGATGAATAGTTCAATATTAATATTTGCGTCCCACTGTTCACTCGCAACCAAATAGCAGAAGTTTTACCGTTCGGCTGGAGCTTGCGAGGGACGCCATTCAAGCATTTGGTGTTCGGTTGGAGGTGCTTTGATGAGCTGGCTTTGGGTATGGGGAATAAGCAAGTGCGTGGTATTCCTATTTGTAATTATGATGACGAGTCTGACAGGTTAAATCTTGATCAAAATGTTGTTAATGTTCTGGATGGGAAGCTTAATGTCGCTATAAGTTGTGATTTGTAGGATAATATTGACTTGAATGTGGTTATTAATGATAATGATGGTTACGCCTCTAATATTGGCAAGAAAAATAAAAATAAAAATCTAAAATGAAGGATGAAAACTTCAAGTATGTTGTTGGTAAACCATCGAGATCTAAAGCTTCTCCTAACATACTTTTTTCCTTAATCAACATGTAGACACCTTTGATGATTTTATCCCGAAAAAACAACCTATCAAACCATATAAAAAAATTTCCCCAACAAAACACTCCAAGATTTATTCAAAATCATGCATAATTAAAACTCATAATCATGGAACCAATATTGACATTGTGGAGCTAATACTTGCATTGTGGCACAATGGTTATATATTCAAAAGATATAATGGGTAAACCTAAGCATGGTAGTTATTGTATACTGAAATATTCACAACAGTATATAGATATAGAGTTTTATGTCTTAACTTTGCATGAAGATACAGTACACACATAGAAAAGAGAGAAGTGCACGAATTAAAAGAGATACTAGAGTTTTTATGAGAAAAATCCTGAAAAGGGAAAAAATACATGGATTGACCCAGTTAAAAGTATTTTATTAGTATTTAGATTTGATTGCAAGTGAAGCTAGCCCTTCTTTAGGAAGGCAATGATACACTATTGGATGAGCCCTTTTGTAAGAATTCAACATAAATCTAAGTGATGCAGTTGGGAAACAAAGTTGATGTCAATGACATGCATCAATCTTCTAAGTGATCGTGTGTATGATGGGATTCTAGTGATGTCAGAGTAGCCATGCAATAATAGTAAGAAGATTATAAGTTGATGGGCATTTATCACGCGATGGTGGGTGGGAGATAATAGTCAAACGAAAGTGATCAAACTTCATAGTCAACAATGGAGATCATAGGACCATAGCCCACTGATTGTGGTCAAAGAATTATAATCAAACTATTGTGGTCATAAGGACTAGGCAACGTTGGTCATATGATTACATACTAGAAACAAAGGTCAGATGATTATAGTATATTGATGGTGGTTAAAGGATCATAGTTAGATGATGGTGGTTTAAGGGCTATAATCAAGAAATGATGATTGGAGGGATGGTAGTTTGACTTTTATCGACAATGGTTGGATGATTGCAGTCAGCTAACATCAAAGGTCAAAGGACTATAATCGATGTTTAATGAAGGTCAGAAGGATCATAGTCAATAGGATATGAGACATTGGAGGATTGCAATTAATGGGCTATGGCGGTCAAAAGGGCCGTAGTTAGACAATAATAGTCTAAAGAGCATAGTTAATGAATGATAAATGTCAAAAGACGATAATGGGTGGGCGATGGAGGTCAGAAGGAATGTACGTAGTAGACAAAAAATGGAAGTTAGAAGAGATTGTAGGCAAAGAGATCATAGACGGGCAACGATGGCCCATGGATAATAATTAGATGATAGTGGTTTGAGGATTGTAGTGGGGTGATGATATTCCAAGAATTGTGGTTAGGAGATGATTGTCTGAGGACCATAATCAGTGGGTTATGCTAAGCGAAGGGGCCACATTAGGGAGACTGATGTCCGACGATCATACTTGAGCGATGGTGATCAGCAAACCATAATTGGGTTATGTTGGTCCAAGGATCATAATTGAGCAAAGATCGCCCAAAGATCATACTATTTGGCCGATAAAAGCTTGTCAATGCATGGTCGAGTGGTGGCCTAATTTTAGTGCTCTAGGATCCTCAAATCCCTAAACCTCCCTTGATTATCAATCCCAAGCCTAAGTTCTAAGTCACAACCCGCCTCCCCATGTAGAAAGTGAGGACCTATTTATAGAATTTTAAGAGTTATATACCTAGCCTATATTGATTCCCAAGATCATAAAGTATTTATTTAGCATTTAAGTGCCTAATTAATATCAAAACTATGCAATATTGGATTTGTTGGATTTATCTCATCGACCTGCTCAATTCAACTACAAGCGTGCCAAAATTGTAGATTAGTTGATTATGCAATTAATGTATAAAATTTATAATTATGTTTTAGATCCTTGATTTGGGCTCATTTAAGCTCAGATTAGACTACTTTTGTTATCATTAAATTTGTCTCGAAAAGATGTTTAGTTCAACTATAGGTTTATTGAAATCAAAGCTAGAATGATCCTTAATATAATTGTGAAAGTTTCTCATTGAAATATGAATCAAGATTTGTGCTCGATCAAAGATGATCTTTTATGGTATATCAATTGCACCCTATATTATGATGTCGAAGCTCATGGAGTTTAGAAATATATTTTCAAGCCTTTGAAAAACATTGTGAAGCAAACTAATATTTTTAAAAAAATTATGAGGCATGATTGCGGCATGGATGATAGCATGAACCTTCCATTTAGGCAATGAACCAAGTAAAATTCCTTTAATTATAATTTTTTTATTTCTTAAAGTTAGCGAGTCAATCGAACAAAAAAGTCAAAAAAAAATCACTCCAAAATCCTCATAATTTACTGTAAAGGACATGTTCAGCTTCGAAAGAGCAAAATTTTATATAGAATAACAAAAGATTAAAAAATTAGAATCAAAGTGTCTGGGCCAAAAATTGAGCCCAAATATGACTTAGTGGCTGAATAAAATAATTGTCGGCGAGCCGCCGGCCCAATGCATTACAATTCATGTACTCAATTTGGGCCCCTTTTGTGCTATGAACAACTTATGTGAGCCCTCGAACCCTTGTGAGAAAATTTTCTTAATAAATTTCTTTACTTTTTTTTCTTTAGTAGGAAAAAAAATTGCCTTTCAAAAAATTTTGAAATTTTTTTAAAAGTCCAAAAAAAATAATCTTACAACCATAATAACAATATAAAGCCTTTATCTGATCACTATGTGGGGTCGACTACATGAATCCTTTTTCTCCATTGTGAAAGAGAAACAATTGTTTTGCTAATTTGATCAAGAATCATGCACTCTTCCTAATTTGTGTCTTAAAAAATTAAGAAGACATTAATGGAGGCCCATGCATTGTAACCTTGCGCAAAAAGCATGGCTAATGATAACCATGCACACAACAGGAAAATCGTGTAATATCTGCGGCCCAAATCCACCAAAAATCATAAAATTCCACCAAAAGATGTGCATTTCTAATGAATTTTTAGTGGAAATATAGTCGATGGTAAAACACTCGTCGAAAACCTTATTCCGGTGGATTATTTCTGCT